TGGCGTATATTATAAATCTTGCTCATTTCCAAGCCTGCACTCCGTGCACATCGCGTGCCAAATTAAATTGCCTCGCGGGCCAAGCATGCGGGCCGCGGATTAAGAACCAGGGATATATAGACACACAATGACTAGGTTATAAAAGAAAATTCGATTGTGTGGACAGAGCTGGTAAATACAAATATATTAAATCAGGTAAAAAAGTAAATTATCAGTAATTGCTCGAGGTATACGTTCAGGGAAAACAAGCAGAAAGAGGGGGTGGGGGCTGGAAATTGTAGTTGGACCTTGGTGACTTGGTGAGGTCTAGATATGCAAGTCCCCTGACTCATATTTCCTAAGGTGTTGTCAAGAAGACCTTTGCATGTTGTTGCCACTGTATGGTAAATACCGTAGTTTACAATTTATCTTATTATTATATAAATTAATAATTACCAATTTTTTGTTAAATATTAATGAGGCTAGTATAGTTTTGTTAAATATTAATGAGGCTAGTATAGTGAGCAGGCGACATCATGTTTTAGAATAATGACATAATTTAAATAATGCCTTTTATTTAGATTCAGTTTTTTCCAGTTTCTTTTATTAACATTAAAATCGCATTAAAGTCTAATTGATAATATTTTATTTCCTCTGTAAAGTAATGAAATAACAAATCACTGCAGTGTACAGAACAAAATACAAAGATAAAAAAAAGTCGGGGTGATGCTAATACCGTATGACTTGAAAAGAAGGCTATTCACGAAACACAATGTGATCAGAACAAAACACAGGAACAACACTTGGCAGCATATAGAGTCTGGTATTTGCAGGACAATCGAAATATATTTTTATAAGCGCTGTTCTTTGGTTCATTAACTGTCTATTATCATGCAAAATAGTACGCTTACGAATGCTATTGACGATGAAACCCAATAACCGTTTTACCTCTATGATTTATAACAATGGGCTTCTTCTACCATGGGTCATGAATCAGGCATCAGACGCATGCAGTTCTTTTAATATTTGATAAAGTTTTTACTTCCTCCTGTGATACTATGTTAAATTCAGCATCCAGCTTATTAAATAATAATTAATACCAAGTTACATTGGGAGTTATTTTTATACAGGGACAGGACTCTGAAAGGGGCGGGAGGGGGAAGGACCGTTATGCGAGTTACGTGGTACCGCGAGCAGGGGTGAGGTTGTTCCCCTTCCTACGGTTGGGGGACGCCAGGGACCTGTGGGGTACAGGGGGGAATTTTTTCCATTAAAAAAATGTAAAAGATGCAGGTGAATGGGAGGCTTGAATCTGTCACTGCTCAAAACATTCTTTATCCAAAATAGTCATCACGAAAAATGATGATATATATTTTTAAAGTATTCATTTTGAGTGATCTCAGGAAAGAATTTGTATTGGCTAGCAAAAAAAAAGCATTAGAAATCTAACACTGTTTACAAGGGGGCTGGATACGTTCCTGTATTGTAGGTCTGTTTACAGGGTTTAATTTTAACCCCTAAATAATAACACGCTTTTGGCTTGTTTGAAGAACACAGTGAAGAATAGGACCACGGAAAGTAACCCAGTGATCAATTTTTGGCGCTATTTATTCTATTTATGGCCTACCGTATATAATCTTGTTCCAAACCACTCCGTGCACATCCGGTGCCAAA